GCATTGCATCCTTGTTTGATTGCAAATTGTATGTTTGTTGGTTGGGATGAAAGTTTCTTACTCTTTGATAAATTAAAAAAAACAAAATATTGACCACCATTTATGACCAAGTACAAAGTTGAAATTGCATATCTATGGTATATATAAGCACTACGTCTATGCTATTATAAAACGGGGAGATTTTCCTTCCTGAATTTCTTCTTTTCAACGCCAAATTTTCTCAAAGATGAAAGATAGATTGAGAATGGTGCTACAAGGTTGGAAGGGAAAGCTCTTTTCAATTGCAGGTAAGGAAGTTTTGATCAAGGTGGTTGCACAATCGATTCCTACGTATATCATGAGTTGTTTTCAGCTGCCGGTGAGCATTTGTAAGGAAATTCAAAACTTGATTGCTCAATTCTGGTGGACACATAGGGGGAGGGATAAGGGAATTCATTGGCTAAAGTGGGAGGAGTTATGCAAGGCCAAGAAGAACGGGGGCTTGGGGTTTAGAGATATTCAAGCTTTTAACCAAGCCATGTTGGCTAAATTGGCATGGAAAATTCATACTGAACCACATTCTCTCATTGCTCAATTACTGCGAGCAAAGTATTGTACCAGGAAAAGTGTTTTGGAAGTATATGCAGGTCAAGGTTCCTCATATTTATGGCGTAGTGTAATATGGGGGCGAGGTTTGATGAAGAATGGCCTCCACTGGAGAATTGGGAGGGGTGAGTTAGTGGGTGTTTATGTTGATAGGTGGCTACCGACACCAACTACGTTCATGGTCTCTTCCCCTCCAACTATGCCCATTAATTCTAAAGTATGCGATCTTTTGACACCATCAAGTGATTGGAATATTGAGTTGATTGACCGATGCTTTCTGGCCCATGATGCTGCAACTATTTTATCTATTCCATTGACAGGAGGTATGGCTAGAGACCGAGAAGTTTGGCACTATGAAACACATGGGCGGTATACAGTGAGAAGTGGATATTTGTTGTATTCCTAAAAGGACACAAATTAATGTGCAAACAACCAATTAAAAATACCCGCAAGTGCACGAATCTATTGAGGTATAGATTATGTAAGTACGGGGTCGATCCCACGAAGAACTTGTCGGCGTCCTATAAATTCTAATTTGAATACATAAAGAACACTTATTTTACACAACACACAAAAACAATACAAATTGGGAACTAAAAATGAATAAAGGAAGGTAAAAGAAAAGAAACAAATCAAGAAAACTAAAGAAAAACACAAACAACATTTTCTATCACCATTTTATCACCTGTGAACAGTGCCATGAACAGTGAAAATGAACAGTGGCGACCGGTCGTTGTACACTGGCGACCGGTCTTTTTTTGCACAGGTTCGTTGGCGACCGGTCGTTTTTTAGGCAGATTCGTTTTCTCTGTTTTTCAGTTTCGACCTCTGTCTAGTTTTTAACCTATAACTTTCCAAACGTTTATCCAAATTTCAAGTTCTCTATACGGTTGGATTCAGCACAGAAAATGCAAGAACACAACACGGACCAAAAGTCCAAAACAACTATGGAAATAGACAAAATTCAGTGAAGACGATACACAACGTGTCAAAAACACACACACATTTTGGGGGGGGGGGGGGGGGGTTAGCACAGAAAATGCAAGAACACAACGCGGACCAAAAGTCCAAAACAACTACGGAAATAGACAAAATTCAGTGAAGAAGACACACAACGTGTCAAAAACACACACACATTTTGGGGGGGGGTTGGTTTGGTTTGGTTCAAGTGACCTAATTCTAATGCATGAAAGTAAATGAATGTTAAATCTAAATGAGAATGCCAGAGATGGATTATCAAAGTGTGAAAATTAAAATGTAACAAACACTAGGGTTTCGGAATCCACCCTAAACAATTCACCCATGTTCATGGATACTCAAGTGATGAACTCTAAATGTGTTGATGAAGATGTTCACAATCAAGACCAGTACTAGTGGCTCAAGACGCATTGATTCTCTCTAATATACTTAAAGTGCAGTACTAGTGCTACAATGCTTGTGCCTTCCCTATAACCGAATCTAGGTGTGCTTAGTACTTTGATTAAATTACAAGAAAAACCCATTAAGCTCAAAGAGAATATGAACACCATAAGAACCCTAATAGCATGATGTTTACATTAAGTATTCAAGAAACCAATTCACATGGATGATTCTTACTTCATCCATTTATTGCTTAGGACAACATGAAGATACACATAATCCCAACAATCTCAAGAAGCATGCTTTCAAAGATGGCCAACCAAGGAAAAACACACATCAAGGATAAATTAATTTGGTGAATTGGAATTCATCAACAATATCTAGAAATTCATGCACTCAAGCATCAAAACAATAAGGTAATCATGTTTAGGGCTTCAACCTAAGCCCTAGCTATGGAGTTTAGCTACTCATACTTACTTCAAACACAAATTCAAAATAAAACTAGAAAGAAGTTACAGATTTTGGAAGTGATGAGAGCTTGAAGTCTTCAATGGTGGAAGTCTTCCTCTCTCCCCTTGCTTGGCTGCTCCTGCCTTCCTTCCTTCCTCTTCAGCTCCAAAAACTGCTCAATTTCTCCCCAAGGATGAATCCCACGTTCAAAATCTGATCCATTTCTGATTGCACTCCCTTTGCCTTTGCCCATCCTCACTTTCCAGCTTTCCCTTTTAATATAAAACTCATTCCTCTGTCTAGTTTTTAACCTATAACTTTCCAATCGTTTATCCAAATTTCAAGTTCTCTATACGGTTGGATTTAGCACAGAAAATGCAAGAACACAACGCGGACCAAAAGTCCAAAACAACTACGGAAATAGACAAAATTCAGTGAAGAAGACACACAACGTGTCAAAAACACACACACATTTTGGGGGGGGGTTGGTTTGGTTTGGTTCAAGTGACCTAATTCTAATGCATGAAAGTAAATGAATGTTAAATCTAAATGAGAATGCCAGAGATGGATTATCAAAGTGTGAAAATTAAAATGTAACAAACACTAGGGTTTCGGAATCCACCCTAAACAATTCCACCCATGTTCATGGATACTCAAGTGATGAACTCTAAATGTGTTGATGAAGATGTTCGCAATCAAGACCAGTACTAGTGGCT